ATAGTATTGGCTCTGTGTGCATCAGGCAGCAAGCTGTTTTGCTCAGTAACACTGATGTAACTTATTGAAAATGCAGGAGGCAGGTGTGCAGAGGTGATGTATTTTGGATGTATGATGTTTTAACTGCCTGAACACTGAGATAGGCAGTTGGATCTGGGGCTCTGGAGCTCCGCAGAGAGCTCTGGGTTAATAAGAGTCTATAGTAGTGGATAGGTGGTGATAGTGAGTGGGATCACGTGGCCCTGAGAAGCCCACGATGGCTAAGGAGCATCAAAGGAGAAAGACGTGAAGGAAAAGACAGAAAATGAATGGTCAGAGATGCTGCAGAAGAACCAGGAGGGCGATGTCATGCAGTCCAGGGGAAGACAGGTTTTTTTTGTTATTTTGAGACAGGGTCTGGCTCCATTGCCCAGGCTGGAGTGCAGTGGTGTTATCTCAGCTCACTACAACCTCTGCCTTCCTGGTTCAAGCGATTCTTCTGCCTCAGCCTCCTGAGTAGCTGGGATGACAAACTCCTGCCACCATGCCCAGCTAATTTTTATATTTTTGGTAGAGACGGGGTTTCACCATATTGGCCAGGCTGGTCTCAAACTCCTGATCTCGTATGATCCATCTGCCTTGACCTCCCAAAGGCTCACACACTTACACGGCACCCAGCCCAAGACAGAATTTTGAAAAGGAGTTGTCAGCATTAATTGACTGGTCACTAAGGGTTTCCTTGGTCTGGTACTTGGTCACGTCTTCTCTTATAGCCATCCTGAGGTTTATGTAATAGTGTATACATTTGTTCAAAAAAAAAAAAAAAAAAGAAACTGGGCACGGTGGCTCATGCCTGTAATCCCAGCACTTTGGGAGGCCGAGACAGGCAGATCACCTGAGGTCAGGAGTTCAAGACCAGCCTGGCCAACATGGTGAAACCCTGTCTCTACTAAAAGTACAAAAAATTAGCCAGGCATGGTGGCGGGTGCCTGTAATCCCAGCTACTCTGGAGGCTGAGGCAGGAGAATCGCTTGAACCTGGGAGGCGGAGGTTGTGGTGAGCCGAAACCGCGCCACTATACTCCAGCCTGGGCAACAGAGTGAGACTCCATCTCCAAAAAAAAAAAAAAAAAGAAGTGGAAGCTCAGTTTTGTTGAGTAAGTCAACCATGGTAAAAGGAGATTACCATCTCCTTTTCTTTGATGCTGGGGTTCATCCTGTCAGGCTGCACTGTCTCAGTGTTGGAAGCCAAGCCCAGGTTTAACTGGTTAAGGAGTGAATAGCAGGTGAGGAAAAGGAGACAGGAATGGGAGGGGTGAGAGGAGAACAGTAAAGCAGATTATTTGGAGAGCAGAAAGCTAAGGGAACAAATAAAAGGTGGTGGTGTTTGTTTTAGGATGAAGGTGATAGGAACATTTGCTCATTCATTCAGCAAACATTCATATCGAACACTTACTTCTGGGCTCTGAGGAGCTATAGTGGTAAATGGGCCAGGCGCAGTGGCTCACGCCTGTAATCCCAGCATTTTGGGAGGCCGAAGGGGGAGGATTGCTTAAGCCCAGAAGTTCAAGACCAGTCTAGGCAACATAGTGAGACTCTCATTGCTACAAAAAAAAGAAAAATTAGTTGGGCGTAGTGGTGTGCACTGTAGTCCCAGCTACTCAGGAGGCTGAGGTGGGAGAATCACTTGAACCCAGGAGTTCAAGGCTCCAGTGAGCTATGATTGTGACACTGCACTCTAGCCTGGGCAGAGAGCAAGACTCTGCTTCAAACAAACACAAAAAGACTCATTTCTACCAGCAACTGAACTTGGGCAAGTGGCTTAATCTCTCTAAGCCTGTTTCCTCATCTGAGAATGAGAATAATGCTCAGCAGGGCTGCTGTGAAGAAGAAATGGAATGATGCCTTTCAGGGCATCTGCCCAGCTCCGAGCCCATGATAGCTCCTGTCTCTGGGCTTTTTAACTCCTGACTCCTGGAGGTTCTGACTCTGCAGAGGGCCCCTGCAGCTGCCTTTGCACCGTATAGCTCTGCTTCCTGCCACTGCACTGCCAGGAAATAATCGATAGCAGAGAATCTGGCACAAGCTTCTGATCCTGCCTGCATTGCCCAGGTTGCCAAAGCATAACATAAAATGATAACATGGTAGAAACTACATTGCCTTCTGTCTTGCCGGGTACTGTTTCCACGTGGCGCGTGATATCCCAGCATTAAGAAACGTTCTCCTGTTTTCAGTAGCATGCATGTGTGCTTGCTTGTGTGTGTGTGTTTGTGTCCATGCACAGTACGGGGAGGCAGAGCTTCCTGTCAGAAAGGGCAGTGCAGAGAAGCTGAGCCCAGCTCTTTCTCTGGTGCCCTGTGACCTCAGGAACCAGATACTCATGTCAGTGTCATAAGGGCCAGAGAGTTGAGGCATCAGAAAGACCGGGTCAGACCCCACACGTCCCCGGCGAGGTCGGGTTCCTTCTGCCACCGTGTTTGTGGAAGCAGTGAGATGCTTTCAGCTCTGAGGACTGCGTCATATCTAAGGACAAACCTGAGTTCTGGGCCTCAGGGGGATTGCTCCTCAGAGACGGCTGAAGATCTTGAGTGGACGGGGCCTAGCTGTGGGCTCAGGAGAGCTGAACCCATGAAGGAGGCAGGGGTGGGGGCTGGGGTGGAATGTAGGGGCGAGTCTGCACTCAGGCCCCCTGTTTAGGTGCCAGACTTCTCCAGGCAGGACTTGCTGGAGCATAACACCCCCCATGGCTTCCCCAGCCCTCCCCCAGCCCCAGCCCCTATGAGCCACCTCGGCGGCCTGCTGCTTTGAGCCACTCTAGAGCCTTAACTTTGTGACTCCTCCAAAGGGAAGGAGGAACCCGCCCCGCTCCCACATAGTGTCCCTGGTCTAAGGACATGCAAGTCAGAGGTGTGTGGCTGGGGGCGCAGCCAGGTTCAAGGGCACCAGGCTTTCTCCCCTTTCCCTCCTCTGGGGATTCCAGTTGGGATGAGAGGGCTGTCCACAGTCACACTACACAGACTCAATAGCAGATCAACCCTTGAATTTGTTTTTGAAAAAATAAAAACCTCCGTGGATCTTTCTTTCCCTGAAAACATGGCCTCTAAAAAACTGTAGTTCCCGTGCTTTTGTAAGATAAAATTTCAGAAAAATCTTTCCACACAAATAGCTTTTATTTGTGAAAATGCTGGATCTTTGCTGGCTCGATAGCCATTTCTGACCCTGATAGAAACAGTCGCGTCAATGGTTGGGAACTGGGAGAGGCTTGAGGAGCACCTCAGCGCCCGCCCTGCTCAGTCCCATCCCCACGGCTGTCCCGTTCTCCCTGGGGCCCGTTGGCCTCCCTGGGTCTGTCTGTGTCTCCCTAATCATACATCTTGGGCATGTCTGCCTGTCCACACTCTGCCCATTCACGTGGTGACTCTCACCTCTCTGTGTCCTCAGCAGATGTCCACTGGAGCCCTGGGACAAACAAGAGTCCTTGTGTCTGTCCTTCTGTCAGGGAGCTTTGCTGTCCACGCAGGTTGTTGGGCCTGGGGCTCCCACAGGGTCCACAAGCCAGGTTGGGCAGGAGCCTCCTTTTTCTAGAGGCAGGTGCTACTGGCCTAGTCAGGGACACAGGTCTATCTGAGATAGTCTGAAGGCAACAGACAAGAAGTGCCAAGTGGGGTCCTGAAGCACAGGCCAGTCCCTTCAGGACATGTTGCCAAAGACTCCACTTCCCAGGGAAAAAGACCGAGTGCTAAACTGCCAGGCCGGGTGCTGAAGGGTGGAGGAGGGCGATGTCAGACCCCAAGGGTGCTGGCTCCTGTGTCCATTCACAGTCCCCCTCTCAAGCTTTACGCCAGGCTGTAGCTGGTCCTCCTGTGGGAAAGGAAGGAAGCCAAGGAGAAGGATGGAAGTGGTGTGGGCCCTCCCCTCTGTCCTGCCGCAGAAACCCGCGGAAGGTTTGGTGGCTGCTCCTTGTCTTCCCAACAACTCCTCTTCAATTCCTCCCCTCCCAAGTCCTGTAAATAAGCTACAACCCTGGTTCTCCAGGTGCCATCAAGCAGTTCCCCATCCGCCTGGCCTTCCCTGACTGGGAAGTGTGCCCTTGGTATCTCTCTGTTGCAGAGCCCGAGGCCGTCACCCTGGGCAGGGAGTGGCTGATGATGGGATCACCCACTGCCTGTCCTGCGTGGGCCTGCATGATGTGTGCATGCTTGAGGACTTTATGTGGGTGAACATTGGGTGCTCATGCACATCTGCTGGGCCAGATGTGGTGATGCTGCAGCAGTGATTCCTTAGTACCTGCTTAGCCTCAGGCTCTGTGCTGGGCTCTTGGGATGCAAAAAGGAATAAAACAGCCAGCCCCAGCCTTCAGGGTTCCCATAGCCTCCCCAGAAGATCAGACAGTGAGTAGATCCTCCCCATCAGTGGGGTCGGTGTTCTGGTAGGGGAAGGACCAGGTCAGAGACCTGCTCAGCATTGCCCGTGGGAGGCAAGAGCCAAAGACTCCCAGGCTTCCACCCCAGGGGGAACCATGATGCCATTCACCAAGACAGGGACACAGAAGGAGGAGCCAGCTGGGGGGACAAGATCAGTTCCGTTGAGGTTCATCGAGACTGAGTGCCACGCTTGTGGGCTACTAGGTGGAAATGTACGCATGCCAGCGATATGCGGCTCTGGAAGTTGAGGGAAGCTCAGGCTGGAGGGGCAGCTCTAGCAGTCACCAGGCACAAGGGGTGCCTGAGTTGGGTCAGGCTAGCAGATGAGATACTGAGGGGGCTTTGGAGAGCAAAACCAATAGAAGGTCAAGGAGGGAACCCTCACATACCACAGTCTACCAGGTGATCAAAGGAAGAAGACTGAGAAAGGGTGGCCAGGGTAAGAGAAGAAAATCCAGGAGAAAAGGGTGACCCTGAGCTAAGGAAAGAGTGTCCCAGAGGCAGGACTGTGTGACAGCAGGGACGTCTGCAGACTGGTGTTAGTCATTCCCCCAGCAGCGCACACTGTGCCTCCCTGGGTGCAGGGGACGTGCGGGGCTTACCTCCGAAGGCTCAGCCGGCTGGAGGCGTCCTGACTGGGCGTCTTTGGAGTGGAGCCGACCATGAGGATGCAGAGCCCAGCAAGGATCATGCAAGTGGGCACGGCACCGATGAGGACCTTGAGGGTGACCACTACCTCCTCTGCCTGCTTGCAGGCCCCTGCCTTGTACCCCGAGAACCTGGAGAAACATCACCCAGCCATTAGGGCAGGGCCTGCTAAGCCTGGCACCCTGAGTGGAGGGGCCCCAGATACCTCACCCCATCCCCTCCTGAAACGTGGACTTCATTTCCTGGCGAGATCAGGAGAGGAGTGTCAAGGGGACAGACAGGCTGACCTGGGAGAGTTTAGAGAAAACGGAGAATGGGGGAGCTGGCCCTCTCAGTCTCATGCACAGAGAAACATGGGGAAATGGTTCCCCACACTCTCCAAAGAGCAGCGCTTAGCCCTCAGGCTCATGGGTGCCCCGAGCTTGGTAGGTGGGGGGCTTTGCCCTCTTCCCGCCCACTGGTCCTTGGTGCCTCTGCTGTATCCTGACCCTGGGACTCACTCCAGACTGAGGGTGGAGATGCCCAGGGCACATGCACCAGACAGCTTGGTGAAGAAGACGTAGGAGGAGTAGAAGATGGTCTCCAGGCCTGGCCCGTGATGGTGCTGCAGCTGAAAGTCATCCACCACGTCTGGCAGCATGGACCTGTGGCAGGGGCATCAAGTTAGCCCTCCTAGCCCGTTGGCCACCAGCAGCCTGTGAACTCTCTGGCGACAGAGGCCAAGGTGGATTCATCCCTGAGTTCTGTGCCCAGGACCAGACTGGCCACCAGAGAAGCAGATGGCCTGTGTGCTTGTACCCCCGCCGGCCCCTGCCGGGCCCCCCACCATTCCTACTGCCTGGTATCCTCTCAGGAGGGCTCTGAGGACAGAGCTGGTGGCCTCCATCTCCTGCACAGGCTGAGTGCAGGGGACCTGGGACAGCAGGTTGACATGAAGGAGGCGACACCCACTGTGGACACACATGAGGCCCCCACACCCAGCCTACCAGGGTAGCAGCAAGGACACAGCAATGCTCACGCCAGATACAAAGGCCACGACATAAGCCACAGGTGCTGTGGGCACAGCAGCCAGCAAGATCGCAAAGGGCACCATCGCCTGGGGAGACACACACACCAGCTGTCCCGCCACCTGCTACTTCGCGGGGCCTGCTCCTTCACACACGGCTTTTGACTGATGACCCCCGTGCCTCGCCCTGTGCTAGGCCTTGAAGACTCAAGGGAACACAGATCCACCCCGGCTCAGGTACCACGGTCACCTCCCTCGCCTCTCCCCTCCAGCCACTCCCATCCCTTAATTCCTGCGTCACTCACAGAGATCCCGAAGGCTGACATCTTCTTCCCAAAGCGCTGGAGAACCCACTCCCACAGCGGGGTGCTCAGCACGGCTGAGACCTGTGAGCAGACAGTGTCATCACGCCAGGGCTGTGCTGCCAGCGCCTTCACCCGGGACCTCAAGGCCTTGGCTTTTAGATGGGATGCCTGGCCTTGGCCTTGCACCCGATTCAAACCAGTGGCTATGAACATTGTAATCCTGGCCCCAATTCTACCCTCTGCTGGAATGCGGGTGACCAAGACCAAAGCAAAGTCCAAAATGTGGACCACCAGAACTCTGGCCACACATGTCCCCAACTCAGGGCCCCAAGTGACCTAGCCTCCACCACCCCAGGTCCCCTCACCAGGACGGTTAGCACCAGGCCCTGGACGTGGTCGTGTAGCTGGGAGGCATGTGTACAGAACAGGACCAGGTAGCTCTGCTCCACCTGAGGAGATGGACAGGAAGTGGGTATGTGCAGGGCATGGCAGGAGCTCAGAAGTCAAGGGCAAGGACAGGGTCTCGAGTCTGGCCTCTCCATTGGGACTTTGACTTGCTGCTACCATCATACAGTCCCTTCCCCCACAAAGGACACTTGTCGCCAACACAGAGATAAACACCACTCCTAGGCCACCCTCATCACCTGCACAGCTGTGATCAGGTGGACTTGACTACGCTTCCGGTAATGTGAGAGGAAATCACCCGGACACTGTCAGCCTCCTAGTGTCCAGGCCCTGGCCCTCCAGTCCACATGCCCTACCGGGATCTCCCTCCCAGCACCAGCCCCTCTGAGCCATGTGCCAGCCATAGGTTTCTCCCTGTAAAACTCAAGCTGAGACTGCACCCTGAACCTAGCAAGGTCTGCATGGCCAGCGCCAAGCCTGTTGGGGGCAGCTGGCCAGAGGTACCTGAACAGCAGCAGAGATGAACAGGAAGGAGATCACCAGCTTCAGGTAGGGCGGGTGCCGGGTAGTGAGGCCCAGCCCAGCCAGGAAACTCAAGCCTGGGCCTGAGGCTGGGGTGGAGGGGTCTGCAATGCAGGAGGGTGGCACCTTGGCTTCGCAGAGTTCAAAACCAAAACCCACCCCCGAGCAGAGCCCTGTCCCCAGCTTCTGCTTCCCTCCTCACCACACCCCATACCTGGCCGCTCCTTCACCCCTAGGCACAGTAAACTGCTGCACACGGGGTAAGTCACCGCAACCACGGCGGCCGCAATGTAGTAGAGACGGGCCTGTGGGACAGGACAGGACTGGGGTGGGTGATGTCTTCAACCCCTGGAGGTGGTGACACCTGAGGGGCGGGGCAGGACTGCCTCCCAAATGGAGAGGAGGGAGGCACAGCCCAAGCCCAGGACATTGGGTCCCCACCTCCCAATCACCCCACAGGACAGCACACTCTCCGGGCCCGGGCTGCTCCTTCCACGTACCCCCTGCTGACCCTGTGTTCCCTGCATGGCAAAGAGGACACTGATGCCCCAGGAGCCAGAGTGCTCCCTCCCACATTCTATGAAGCAAACATGGACTGCTGCTGCCTTCTGCATGCTAGGCCCCGAGGCTCCAGTGATGAATAAGTGAGCCCTGTCCATCCACAGGGCTCAGTGTGGGGAGGAAGACAGATCCAGGAGCAGGCGGTTACAGCATGGTGAGATACATGGTAACTCAGATTAACGGAGGAAGCAGGGCCGGGCCTGGTGACTCATGCTTGTCATCCCAGCACTTTGGGAGGCCAAGGTGGGTGGATTATTTGAGGTCAGGAGTTCCAGACCAGCCTGGCCAACATAGACCCCATCTCTACTAAAAATACAAACATTTAGCTGGGCGTGGTGGTGGGTGCCTGTCATCGTAGCTACTCAGGATGCTGAGGCAAGAGAATCACTTGAACTGGGGAGGCAGAGGTTGCAGTGAGCCGAGATCACACCACTGCACTCCAGCCTGAGCAACAGAGCGAGACTCTCGTCTCAAAAAAAAAAAAAAAAAAAAAAAGATTAATATAGGAAGCAGGGCCGGGAATGGTGGCTCATGCCTGTCATTCCAGCTCTTTGGGAGGCTGAGGCAGGTGGATCCCTTGAGCCCAGGAGTTCAAGATCAGCCTGGGCAACATGGTGAAACCCTGTATCTACCAAAGAAAATACAACAATTACCCAGGTGTGGTGGTGTGCACCTGCAGTCCCAGCTACTAGGGAGGCTGAGGCGGGAGAATCGCTTGAGTCTGGGAGGTTGGGGTTGCAGTGAGCTGTGATTGCACCATTGCACTCCAGCCTGGGTAGCAGAGTAAGACCCTGCCTCTGTATATATAGGAAGCAGGACAGTGCTACCTGTCATTCAGGGAAGAATACGTGTGCATTAAAATGCCTATAAACACATGCACAAGAGCGACAGCCAGAGCGAGTTTGGGAGAGGCTGCCTCTGGGGAGAGGAGCAGAGAGAGGGGGCGGGGCAGGGCGCTTGTCCTGTGCAGCCACCCTGGGCCTCATGTGCTGAAGAGCATTGCCCCTGGGGTTCAATGCTCTGCTGTTACTGTCTTGAGATTTTTTTTTTTTTTTTTTGAGACAAGAGTCTCTTTCTATTGCCTAGGCAGATCGCAGTGGCGCAATCTCAGCTCACTGCAACGTCTACCTCCTGGGTTCACGCGATTCTTCTGCCTCAGCCTCCCGAGTAGCTGGGATTACAGGCGCACACCACCACGCCCAGCTAATTTTTTGTGTATTTTTAGTAGAGACTGGATTTCACTATGTTGGCCAGAATGGTCTGGAACTCCTGACCTCGTGATCCGCCCTCCTCAGCCTCCCAAAGTGCTGGGATTACAGGCGTGAGCCACCACTGTGATCCCAGCAGTGGCTCACGCCTGTAATCATGAGGATCTACCTTTCTAACAAGGTCCCAGGAGTTGATGCTGCTGGTCCAGGGACCACACTAAGATCTGTGCCTCTCTGCCTTTGTATAAATCTGAAATATTAAAAACAAGCACAGGCCAGGTGTGGGGGCTCACGCCTGTAATCCTAGCACTTTGGGAGGCCGAGGTGGGCGGATCACCTGAGGTCAGGAGTTCGAAACCCAGCCTGGCCAAAGTGGCAAAAACCCATCTCTACTAAAAATACAAAAATTAGCCAGGTGTGGTGGCGGGCGCCTTTAGTCCCAGCTACTCAGGAGGCTAAGGCAGGAGAATGGCCTGAACCCGGGAGGCGGAGGTTGCAGTGAGCCGAGATTGCGCCCCTGCACTCCAGCCTGGGCAACAGATAAGATTCCGTCTCAAAAAAAAAAAAAAAAAGCACAAAAGGCCAAGACAGCAGGGTACAGGGCACACAGAGGGGAGGCCTACATGAAGGCTGTGGAGGGTGGCCTATGCCCAGTCCTGAAAGTGAGGGCCACCCATGCTCAAACTCCTTTCAAAGGGCACCTGACCACACAGGGGAGGTGGCGGGAGGCAGGGATGCGTGTAGGAGGCGGAGGCAGCAGTTGTGGGGTAGGGAGGGAGCTGGTGGCACGGGCCAGGGCATGGCAGTGGGGTACAAGATGGCTGGATGCATCCCAGAAGACTTTTGGCCTAAAAAATGGGCAGGATTCAGTCATAGGTTGGAGGGTTGAGAGAGGGGAGAAGAGGACAGTGCTGGAGGATGATAATGTCATTACTTGAGGAAAGAGGGGGAAGTAGAAAAAGAGAAGGTAAATGTGGTGGATAAAATAGAGGTGTATCTGCTCAATGCTCGAGGGACCTGCTGTGAAAGGGAAGGAAGGGGCTTCCCCCTCTCCACCATTTCACACTGGGGGTTGGGGGCTCCCCCCGGTCAGGGCTGGGGCAGGGAGCACGGGTCATAGGAAGGGCTTTGGCTCCAGGAGGACACCAGACCCCTCTGCTGCCCCTCCCCTAGCCTGCCCTGCAGCTTTCCCCACCCTCCCCCCACCTCTGGGGCTGGCCTCCTCCACTGCAGGTGGCCCAGGTGGCCAGGCCAGTGTCTGTTCTATTTTACGTCTAGAAGGAACCCAGGAGGAGGCAGGTTAGCAGAGGACATTAGATTTGGGGGCCATCTGCTCAACTGGAGGAGCAGGGAAGGAATGAGGGGGGGCAGTGAGTCCCCTAAAAGACAGCAAAGCGGTGTGGGCAGGAGAACCAGTCCTAGAGGAAGGAGGTGACCTTGCAGAGGGGACCCCAGGTTGGGGGCCATCCAGTGCACTTACCGCATTGGGGGAGACGGTGACTGGCCCCGGGGTCACAGTGGCCTCGCACCTGTGGTGTTTGTGGGCGCCAGACACGATGAGCCCATGGACAGTGGCCCCCATCAGTGTTCCTGCCATCTCCACAGTCATCCCTGGAGACAGAGCGCTGCTTACGGTGACTGAGAGGGAGTAGGGTCCCAGGGGCAGTTCCCTCCCCGGAACCCGAAACCCATGGCTGCACTTACGGTAGGCAGTGGCCGAGTCGCGCTCCCTTGGGCAGGGGGTCAGCAGCATGGTGAGCGCTGTGTAGGGTACCTGGAAGAACTGGGGTGCCTGCAGAGCTTAGAATCGCCCCCAGCTTTGCCTGGTGACAGCTGGCAACCTCCCCAATCCTGGGTGTCACATCCCGGCACCCACAGGCCAACCCGACATATCCCAGCTGGCCACCTGAAGTCGGAGCTAGGGGCCCAAAGGCAGGAGGGGGCAGCCAGCCCCGCGCAAGGCCAGCGAGAGCCAATGGCATGGTCCAGGCACAGGCGGGTGGGGAGGGCAGTGACCCTGCCCCCACAGCACACTTCAGAGTGGCCACGGCAAGCAATGGGCTTCGCCAGAGCACAGGCCCAGGAAGGGGCCCTGCTTACCGTGGCCAGGCCCTGGAACAGGCAGTAGAAGGTGGTGTACCAGAGGCCTCGCAGGCTGGTGAAGGGGGGCAGGAACCACAGGAAGAAGTAGGCCAGGGCGATGAAGGGGGTGCAGCCCAGCACCCTGCGGAAGCACAGCCAAGGTGAAGTGGTCCCTGGACCAGGACAGGGGGACACGAAGGGCCCAGCCTGGAGGAACCTCACCCCTTCTCGGCCCCTTGAGAATCTCTAGGCTGAGGCTCCCTGGGTGGGAGCCAAGAGCAGGGGAGAAGTGGCCGATGGGCCAGGCAGGCAGTGGGCGGCCACTCCTCGTGGGAGCTCCGGCTGCACACTCGGTGCCGCTGGTGGCACTCCCTGTGTGGACACTGGGACACTGAGTTGTACTTCCTCCGTGAGGCCTCGCGTGGGCTCCATCCCACCCTTCCCACACTCAGACCCCCAGGCCAGGCCTGGGAGTCTTGGAGGCTTCGTCCAGCCCCATTCCATCTGGGGAGGGAGAGTCCCCATGAGTGTCTCTGAACTCCTTATCACTCATAGTCGGTCCCCAGTGCAACTGCGACATTATCCGGGCTTGTTTCCTAACCACCCAGCAGGTTTCTGCTAGAAAAAGGACTGTGACAAACAGCGACCAGAGGGCCAGGACCAGGTGCCTGGATCCTAAGGACTGAGCGGTTGCTCACCAAGGCATGAGCCGTCCAGACCCCGTCCTCTGGCTCCTGTTGATGAAGAACCCAGCCACAGGGTCAGCAGCTGCCCCAGACACTTTTCCCCCAAACAGAACAAGTGACACCTGGGCGGCAGGGATCTGAAACAGACAGGGGAGGGGATAAAGAGCTGAGGCCCGGCAGCAGCCGAGAGCCCATCCAGGCCTGCCTGCCATCAGGAGGGGGGCCTGGGAACCAGGACTGGCTGGGGCAGAGCCGCAGTGTCAGGGGCTCCTCAGCCTTCCCCAGGACGCTGATCCCCGGGGAGGGAGCTGAATGCTGCCGCCCCGCACACTCCGCCACTGCGGAGAGGACTCCAGGGCCCTCATCTGGGGCTGGCTCAGAGCAAGGAGGGTGCCTCTGGGCTGACAGAGGTGGACACTGTGTTTCACAATGGAAAGGATTCATTGTTTTTTCTGACTATGTAAATAATACACTAATTAGAAAAACATTCAAACAATGTGGGAAAATACTAAGCGAAGCTCATCTGAAATCCCAGCATCCCGAGACAACTGCCAGAATCGTTTTGATGATCAGCCGTTCATAGGCTTCTTCGTGTGTGCCCGAGATTGATCAGTTTATATAAATGGGATCATATCAGAGTGTCATCTTAAACATTCGTGGATACCTCATTTCACTTATTATTATTATTTTTTAATTGAGACAGGGCCTCTCTCTGTTGCCCAGGCTGGAGTGCAGTGGCACCGTCTTAGCTCACTGCAGCCACCGCCTCTCGGGCTCAGGTGATTCTTCCACCTCAGCCTTCCAAGTAGCTGGGACCACAGGCACATGCCACTATGCCCAGCTAATTTTTGTATTTTTAAATTTTTTGTGGAGGTGGGGTTTTGCCATGTTGCCCAGGCTGGTCTTGAATACCTGAGTTTAAATGGTCCTCCCGCCTTGACCTCCCAAAGTGCTGGGATTACAGGTGTGAGCCACCACACCGGGCTGGATACCTCATTTTTTTATTGTTGGTTTTTGTTTTGTTTTGTTTTTGAGAGGGAGACTTGCTCTGTTGACCAGGCTGGAATGTGGTGGTGCAATCTCGGCTCACTGCAACCTCCACCTCCCGGGTTCAAGCGATTGTCCTGCCTCAGCCTCTCGAGTAGCTGGGACTACAGGTGTGTGCCACCATGCCCGGCTAATTTTTGTATATTTAGTAGAGATGGGGTTTCACCATATTGGCCAGGCTGGTCTTGAACTCCTTATCTCAAGTGATCCTCCCTCCTCAGCCTTGAAAAGTGCTGGGATTACAGCTGTGAGCCACCATGCTTGGCTGGATACCTCATTTTAAAAATTGGGTTTTACTTACCCTCCATTCTCCATCATTCCCTCCTGTAGCCAACATTAACGAGTTGGTGTAGATCCTTCTAGAATTTTCTCCATGCTCACATTTTAAACATGGACAAATACATATATACGTACATATCCATCCACACACACACATGGAGCCTTTGATTTGCTAAAATGGGATCATTTTATATACTCTTCTCTAAAACTAATTTTCTTTTTCACCAGAGCATCATGGAAATCGCTGTAAGTCAACTGGTATAGATCATTCTTTTGAATGGCTGCATGACAGTCTATTTGATAGTGAGGTTAGTCCAATCTGTTGGCTTCTGTGGGCCACATTAGAAGAAGAATTGTCTTGGTGAGGCACGGTGGCTCATGCCTGTAATCCCAGCACTATGGGAAGCTGTGGTGGATGGATCACCTGAGGCCAGGAGTTTGAGACCAGCCTGACCAACATGGCAAAACCCCGTCTTTACTAAAAATACAAAAATAAGCTGTAGGCCGGGCATGGTGGTTTACACCTATAATCCCAGCACTTTGGGAGGCTGAGGCAGGTGGATCACGAGGTCAGGAGTTGAAGACCAACCTGGCCAGCATGGTGAAACCCTGTCTCTACCAAAAATACAAAAAATTAGCCAGGCATGGTGGCATGCACCTGTAATCCCAGCTACTCTGGAGGCTGAGGCAGGAGAATTGCTAAACCCGGGAGGCGGAGGTTGCAGTGAGCCAAGATTGTGCCATTGCACTCCAGCTTGGGTGACAGAGTGAGACTCCGTCTCAAAAAAAAAAAAAAAAAGTAGCCGATCGTGGTGGTGTGCACCTGTAATCCTAGCTACTTGGGAGGCTGAGGCATGAGAATTGCTTGAACCCGGGAGGCGGAGGTTTCAGTGAGCCGAGATCACACCACTGCACTCCAGCCTGGGTGACAGAGGGAGGCTCTGTCTCAAAAAAAAAAAAAAAAAAGAATTGTCTTGGGCCACATATAAACACATAAAATACACTAACACTAATGATAGCTAATGAGCTAAAAAAAAAAAAATCACAAAAAAATTCATAATGTTTTAAGAAAGTTTACAAATTTGTGTTGGACCACACTCAAAGCCGTCCCGCCGTGGGTTGGACAGGCTTGGTCTATTATATGGCTATGGCATAGCTTACTTAGCCAACTGCTTCTATATTGTTGGGGATCCACATTGTTTCTCATTTTCCCACTACAAACAGGCTGCAGTAAACATCCTTGAGGACCTTGCCCTCATTAGCTTCTGGCTTTTTGTTAAGCTTGAGTCAGAAGCGATGCCTACAAGGATGGTGGGAGCAGAAGCAGAGGTGGGGGTGGAAGGACCAGACCCCAAGGAAGATGCCAGCAGAGACTGGGCAGCTGCCCACACTTACCTGTGCTATATCAAGCAGGAAGAGCTGCAGGTAAAAGGCTGTGGCGCTAGAGGCTATCTGGTTGGGGACCCCACCAATGCCATAGCACACCTTCGTACAGAATGAGAGGCGACTGGCTCTGCTGTCCTGGAGGAGACACAGGAACTAAGCCTCCCAACAGACACAAAACAGGTCCCCACACCCTATGACTTCAGTACACGTCCTGAGTCCCTGTGATGTCTTCAGGGCTTTTCCAGCAACCTCTCAGCCCCATTTTGCCCCCATGTCATCCTAAGAGGAAGTGAGACAGAAGAGAAAAAAGATCTTAAACCATGACCTCTAAACATTTCCAGGGGCACGTTCTTCTGGACATCTTACCCTGGGCTTCCTGCTGAAGCCGCCGTCCTTTACTGAGTCAGCACGGCTGTGTAAGCTGCAGGTCAGGAGACCTGGGCTTGAGCCTGCCTTTGTCACCTACCCCTCTATGTGACCTTGAGTAAATCACATTATCTCTCCAAGCCTGTTTTCCTCATCTGTGAAATGCTACATCCCTGCCAATTTCACAAGGTTGTTTCATGAATAAAGGAGGCGGTAGCTCATTTACCCATAGCCTGCCTGCCCACAGCCCTCCAGGGATGCCTGGCAGGCGTCTCAGCTTAGCATGGTCTACATACAGCTCCTGATGGCTATCCCATTGTCTAATCCAGCTCCTAGCAAATGGCACCGCTGGTCCCCTAAGGGGCTCAGGCCACAAATTTAGGAGTCATCTTTGATTCTTCTTTCCAATTCTTGTCTGTCAGTGAGTGCCTCCTAAGTGGCTTCTCTGTGTCTGCCCTTGCTCCCTACAATCCACACCACCCAGCAGCCAGTGCTCTTGTAATAACGTAAATTGCACGGTGGCCCATCCCTATAAACCCAGCACTTTGGGAGGCGGAGGTAGGTGGATGGCTTGAGCCCAGGAGTTCAAGACCAGCCTGCCCAACATGACGAAACCCCATCTCTACTAAAAACACAAAACTTAGCCAGGCATAGTGGCTGGCTGTAATCCCAGCTACTCAGGAGGCTGAGGCAAGAGAATCGCTTGAACCTGGGAGGCAGATATTGCAGTGAGCTGAGATTGGCGCCACTGCACTCCAGCCTGGGCAACAGACACTCAGTCACAAATAAATAATCAGATCCCATCTCCTCTCTGATTAAAGCCCTCTGATGGCTTTGCTATTGCAGGTTTTTTTTTGTGATATGTGTGTGTGTGTTTTGTTTGTTTCCAGATCCATGGTATTCAGTCAATGCCATTGCAGTTTGAACAAAACTCCAAGTCCCGATCATGGCTAAGCAGTCCACCCAGTTGGCCCCCTACCCACCTCACCTCAAATAGCTCTCCTTCAGCCACACCGGGCTCCTTCCTATTCCTCAAAATCATCAAGTCTGTTGCTGCCTCAGGGCCTTTGCACTTCCCATTCCTCTGCCTGGAAGGTGACTCCTTGTCATTCTGGTTTGACGTCACCAGCTTAAATGTCACCTCCTTCAAGAGGCATTCCCTAACCACTCACCTCTCTCAGTTGTACTTAGCGCCTGCTATGTTCTCATTTAGTTCCTGCCTCTCCCTACACGAGTGTAAGCTCTCTGAGAGCATGAACTCTTTTATTTATCATGGTGTTTCCAGTACCTAGAAAAAAGCTTGGTATACAGTAGGTGCTCAGTAAATATCTGTTGAAGCAAGAAATTGGCCATGAAGACCCTGTGTAAAGTGCTGTTTCTTTGGAAGAAGCTGGGCATCTTTTCTCATCCTTTGCTGGGGGCCGGAGGGAGTGGAGATGACACGGCTTCACTCGTTTCCACATCTTGCAGGACACCCCAGCAGGCTCTTGTGAAGGGAAGGTCTCCCCAGATAAGGGATTATCACACTTTGCACACTCTTCCTACCCACAGGGGAAAACCACACTGGGGGCAGGAGGATTCTTTCCTGACATTTGTGTGAACATCATTTCAGCTTCCAGAAAAATTTAAGAACAGGCAGAATTCAACGTGACAGTCCCCCTCTCCCCCAGTGGGGACTCTTGTATCCCCCAAAACGGGCCTAGCAAGTTTTTCGAACTTTAGAAATAACTTCCAAGTGAAGCCAGGAATATGGTCCCGTCTTGCCGTCTCGAGGATGACAGTTTTACTGAAAGCCATAAAAGTCCTGCACAGCTGGACAGTGAGCTGTACAAGGAGAAGCCCCTTGGGAGGGGCGGCTCCGGGTGAGAGGCGCAGCGCTGCTGTCTGTAGCTGCGTGACCCAGGGCAGGCACCTCGGCCTCTGCGCATCGGTGTCTGGAGCGACCGGGGCTGCCACCCCTCAGAGAGGATTCCACGCCGACGCCGCGTCACCGGCAATGCGAGTTTTTCCCTCTTGCTGTTAATCTCACCCCGAATTTCTAAGTTTCCCTGGGAAGTGAGAGTCCCCGGAGAGCCCCTTCATCTCACCTCACTTTCTTGTGGGACGCAATCCTGTGCTCCGAGGTGCCTGGTAGGACGCCCTGAACCAGGCTGGGGGCTGAGGTGTCAGGGGAGGCCACAGAACGCCCTGGGCACTAGCAGGGAGCAGGCGCACTCAGTGAGACCTAGGAAGCCCCAGGCCCCTTGCCCCGTCCAGCACAGCCCCGCTGGCCAGCACGGCCCAGCGCATCAGGCAACGGACAAGGGGCCCCGAAGACCCCGCCGCTCCCACCTGCCCTCCTCCCTTCTTGTCGGAGCCCATGGCCAGGACCTTCCCTGAGGCAGCCTCCAAGGGGAGCCTGGTGCCCGGCGAGACCAGGTTCTGGGAGGGAGGCCGAGGCCACAGCAGCTGCCTGAGGTCGGGAAGGACGCAGCCTCCCCAGGCGCTTCAGAAAGCCCTGCCTGCCCAGAGCTCGGGACTCCGGCAGGACCTGCGGTGGCACGGACAAGACCCCTAAGCCGGGAATCAGGACAGCAGGGACCACGCATCCCCAAGCTGTTTCCTTGGCTAGGGCTAGGCTTCCCGTCCTAGTTTCTATCCGGCGCCGGCACCTCCCGGCCTCCCCGCTCCCAGCCGTGTAACCCCGCGAGGGCAGCCCCTGAGCCGGCAGGTTTGGGCCGAGCCCCGCCGGGCTGCACCCAGCTGGAAAAGGGGCTACGAGGCGACGCCCTCGAGCTCCCCAGGGGCGCAGCCCCTTCCCGGCCCGCGCCGCCCCGCTCACCTCTCGCCCTCGCCTGGCGCTCCCCGGGCCGGGCTCCCGGACGTGCGGCTCCGGTTGCGGGGACCCCTCGGTGGCTGGTGCAGGGGGCGCCGCCATTGCCACCGCAGCGCCGCCCGCGGCCGTTGCCCTCGGGGTTATCGCCCTTGGGAGGGGCGGCTCCAGGCGAGGGGCGCGGCGCGAGTGGACGCTGGCAACGCGGGGGAAACGCAGAAACCGCGAGGGGCACCGTTTCTTTTGCTTCTCCAAAGGGCAACAGCGAAGAGCCAGAATCCGCGGGGGTAAAGGCCCGGCAGGTCCTCAGGACCGCTCTCCTTGGGGCGGATCCCCGAGGGGCGTGAGCGGCCCTGAGCGCTAAGGGCTCCGCCAGACCGCTGGGGTGACCGCGGTCAAGCAGCAGCTCCCCCGCAAGATGAAGCAAGAGGCCCGCTCGTTCAGGCTGGACCATGGCTGAACAGGCATTCCGGCGGCTACACATGACGCCCAACGCCTGAAATACACATTGTCCAGTCTCCTATACAGACCACGGGATGGCCAGTAACTAAGTTCTGGCCAGCGAATAAAAGCAGGTGGCACAGACAATATTCCAGAAAAGTCCTTAAAAGGGAAGGCGGGTGACAGCAGGTAGCTAGTCAGACTGGAACAGGGCAGGAGAGGGCCACGCTTCCAGCCAGGAGCCTCAGGCAACCATCAGGCGACAGTCAGGCGGTTGTTATGCTCCCTCTAAAATGATAATTGATCCAGCGGGGCCAGGGAAAGGCCGTCTCCCAAAAGAGAGAGAAAACCTGAAACTGGTGATCAGCTTCTCGGTAAGATCTCAGGAGCTGCGCAAGTGGGCTTACACAAATTGCGGAGTTGAACTGACATGTGATCCTCCAAGGACACTGGACTGGTAAGGGAAGAAGGCCTCCAGTGAGCATGGGTACAACTCCAGGAAACGCAGTGTGCACACTCCCCTCCCAAGTGCTGGCAGGCCACTGTCCATGCAGACAGGCCCCCCAAGAGAAGAATCAGGGGAGAAGGGATGCAAGACCCCAGAAGTATGCCAATGTATAAGACCTCAGGTCAAAAGGTCAAACTGTGTACTTGTCTTTCAGGTCACCTGCTTGGTCCTCTTCCAAGTGTACTTTCCTTCCTTTCATTTCTGCCGTAGAGCTTTTTAATAAACTTTTACTCCTGCTCTAAAACTTGCCTCAGTCTCTCCTTCTGCCTTATGCCCCTCAGTGGAATTCTTTCTTCTGAGGAGGCAGGAACTGAGGTTGCTGCAGACCCATATAGATTCCTTCCCACTTACATATTTTAGTGCCACGTGACTCAGATACCGTCCACCAGTAACAAGGGCACACATTAACTGAAAATGCATCATAGACCTATAATATAAAACTCCTATGAAAAAACAGGAGAAAGGGCCAGGTACGGTGGCTCACGCCTGTAATCCCAGCTACTTGGGAGGCTGAGGCAAGAGAATTGCTTGAACCTGGGAGACGAAAATTGCAGTGAGCTGAGATCGTGCCACTGCACCTCCAGCCTGGGCGACAGAGGGAGACTCCATCTCAAAAACAAAAACAAAAACCAATTAAACACAAAAAACCCAGGAGCGACTCTTCATCATACTGGGCCAGGCAATCGTTTCTTAGGACGCCAAAAGCACAAGCTGGATGAACTACAAAAGTTTTCAAAACGAAAACCTTTGTGCTGTAAACAATTCCAACAAGTGGGTATAAAGACAACCCACAGAATGGGAGGAAAGGGATTTGTACGGGCATCAACTTTCACAACTTAACAATTAAAAGACAATCCAATTCTCAAATGGGCAAAGAATCTGGATATTTCTCTAAAGATATACAAATGAACAGTAAGCACATGGAAATACAAATCGAAACTACAGTGAGATACCATTTCATATCCACAGGGTGGCCGTAATTAAAATGAGACAAGTACTGGGGAGGATGTGGAGAAATCAGAACCCCTATACGCTGCTAGTGGGAATAGAAACTAGGGATGGTCCTTTGGAAAAGTTTGGCAATCTCTCAAAGTAAAACGTGGAATTACCACATGACCCGCAATTTCAGTCTTAGGTGTATACACCCTTCAGAAATGAAAACATGTTCACATAAAATCTTGAACACGAATGTTCATTAGCAGCATTCATATATATATACACACACACATATATATGTGTATATATATGCCAAAGAGGACACAAGCCAATGTCCATCAGGTTATGAATGAATAAATATAATGTGGTATAGCCATACAATGGACTACTATTGGGCAAGAAAAAGGAATGAAGGACCAATGCATGCTACAACACAGATGAACCTTGATGACAGTATGCTAAATAAAAGCAGCCAGTCACAAAAGATTACAAGTCGTATGATTCCATTTATGTCAAATGTCTAGAATAGGCAAATATAGAGAGACAGAATGTACATTTGTATTTGCCTGGGACTGGGCTAGGGAGTGACTGCTAATGTGTATGGGGTTTTAGAATGGATGAATATTTTCTAAAATTAAATTGTGATGGTTGTACAACCTTATAAATACACTAAAACCCATTGAATTGTATACTTTATTTTTATTTATTTATTTTTTTCAGACAGAGTCTTGTTTTGTTGCCCTGGCTGGAGTGCAGTGGCACGATCTCGGCTCACTGCAACCTCACCTCCCGGGTTCAAGTGATTCTCCTGCTTCATCCTCCCGAGTAGCTGGGAATACAGGCATGTGCCACCACGCCCGGCTAATTTATATATTTGTAGTAGAGATGGGCTTTCACCATGTTGGCCAGGCTGGTCTTGTACTCCTGATCCTCAGGTGATCCACCTCTGCCTCCCAAAGTGCTGGGATTACAGTGAGCCATTCGCCTTGCCTGAATTGTATACTTTAAATGGGTGAATTGCACAGCATGTAAATCACGTCAATAAAGCTGTTTAAATTTAAAAGGGAAGGAATCTGCTTCTTCCTACTGGCTGAAATACAAATGTGTTGGCTGGTGCCAGTGCAACGACCTTGAGACCCCAAGTTTACAGAGTGATGAGACTGGCAGATCAACAGTACAGCAATCTGATGATTTTATGAGGTTGATCTACCAGCCCTGAACTGCTTCCCTCTGAACTTTTGCATGGGAAATAGAATTTGACCTTGTAAGCAACTATTTTTCTGGATTTTCTGTCATAGCTAAATCTAATCCTAAAGGATACACTACCCAGTTTAGAGCAAGTCATTCCATTTTATGTCTTAATTCCTTAATCTACAAAATGGGTACATTTTGTTTCCCTAATTGCAAATACAAAGAAAGGTTAGATAATGCATGCGCTAAATATTTAATTCCTTGGAAGTTAAACATAAACTAAAGCCAGTTTCTTTAGATAATCTACTTCTATAATTTGTGTTTTTTTTTTCCTTTTTGTGAAGAATAGGATCTTGCTATGTTGCCCAGACTGGTCTCGAACTCGTGAGCTCAAGCTATATTCCTGCCTCTGCCTCCTTAAGTGTTGGGAATTACAGGTGTGAGCCACTGAGCTCAGCTAGGTAACCTACTTTCAAGTACATCCTATTGATATGCATTTTTAATAGGTTTGGAAATACTGCATTCTCAACACTTGTGCTTTGTTGTTTATACTACTGCAATTTTAAGTTTGAAAGGCAGCAGGTGAAAACAATTTTAAAAATTAGAAAATGACCAGGCGTAGTGGCTCACACCTGTAATCCCAGCACTTTGGGAGGCTGAGGTGAGTGGATCACCTGAGGTCAGGAGTTCAAGACCAGCCTGACCAACATGGTGAAATCCCGTCTCTACTAAAAAAATACAAAATTAGCCAGGCGTGGTGGTGGGCTCCTGTAATCCCAGCTACTCGGGAGGCTGAGGGAGGAGAATCACTTGAACCTGGGAGGTGGAGGTTGCAGTGAGCTGAGATCGCGCCATTGCACTCCAGCCTGGGCAACAAGAGTGAAACTCCGTCTCAAAAAAAAAAAAAATAACTTTTTTGGACAGCAAAAAATGTAATTATAATAAAAGGCATTTCCCTAACAGTTATTATTCTATTTAAAGTGACGGTAAGTTCATAATGTAATTTTTAATGTAAAAGACAAAATAAATTAGATTTCAATAAAGTAGGATTAAAATAAAAAAGGCAGCTGCCTTTTAATTAAAACAAGACTAAAAGCTGATACACTAAAAAATATCTGAAAGGATGCACATCAAAATGTTACTAGTAGTTTTTAATTTCTAAATTTTATTTTTTACTTTTTTCTTTTTCTTTTTTTCGAGATAGAGTCTTGCTCTGTCGCTTAGGCTGGAGTGCAATGGCATGATCTCGGCTCACTGCAACCTCTGCTTCCCAGGTTCAAGTGATTCTTCAGCCTCAGCCTCCCGAGTAGCTGGGATTACAGGCGCCCGCCACCATGCCTGGCTAATTCTTGTATTTTTAGTAGAGACGGGGTTTCACCATGTTAGCCAGGCTGGTCTTGAACTCCTGATCAGCCCACCTCGGCCTCACAAAGTGCTGGGATTACAGGCAAGAGCCACTGCGCCCGGCTTTTTTTTTTTTCACTTTTTAAAAGAGACAAGTTCCCCCTGTGTTGTTCAAGCTGGAATGCAGTGACTATTCACAGGTGTAATACCACTACTGATCAGCATTCGTTCTTGCTCCTTTTCCAGTGGGCAACCTGGTGGTCCCCAGTTCCAGTGAGATCACCAAATTGATGCCAAACTTAGTGCAGACACCTGACCGACTGGCAGAGCACACTACACCCCAGAACTTCTGGGCTCAAGCGATCCTGCTGCCTCAGTCTCCCGAGTAGCTGGGACAACAGGCACGCACCACTAGAACTGGCAGTGGTTGTATGTGAAAGGCAGAATAATAGGTGATTTAAGGATCATTTTAGCATATCTGCATATTATAATTTTCTATAATGAATATAAATTATCTGTGCAAAAAATACATTAAAACAAATGACAAAGAGCCAAATATTGGTCTACTGAATAAGCCATTTCCATTTGAAGATTTAGTGCAATGAGCAATTTTTTCATAAAATGGTTTGTACTTAGGAAAAGAAGGAACAAAGGAGTAAACCCTACTAAAGAGTCTTCATGCTAGTTCAGCTCATGACACAAAGAATAGTTGAAA